TAACCCGGATCTTCTCAGGTTGCGTTTGGTGTGACTGCAAGATGGAGCTCATTACAGTGCCAAGGACACTCATTGGTCAATGTTATCAAAAGGAAATACTGGATACTGCTGCAGTGCTATATTTTGATAATAATTCCTTTGAAAGGTGTGGGATATTCACGGATGACAACGCTAGACCTCAGCACCTGTTTTGACCCTAATTTAATAAATAGTCCTTCACTAAAGTACTGTCGGAAACAGAAAAAAACTGTTTTTAGGCTGTTACTCTGTATCACTAAAATTTACACAATTGCAAATAGCATATGTCGAAATAACCCACATCGGCCCTGGGCGTTCAGAGGGATGAGTAATAGGATATCCAGAGAAGCACGTTTACTCGTAAAATCGGGCAAAACCGAATAGCTGCTGAAAACAATAGATCAGACTATAGATGGCAATCAGGTCGCTCAGCCAGGTATGACGACGGACCGTCGACTCACATGGCATGAAATGCACGTGCTGCCCACATGCACAAGCGGGCATCTCAAAGATATTTTATGTTTTTTCATGTGCATTGTATATGTCTCTATTGATTATCTTATCTTAGCTAATATATCAGTTCCTCAGCCCGACCCCAACCACCTGTCCTGGTTTTGCTTTCGAGACGACCCCTCCTACCTGTTTCTTTTTATAGTGATAGTGAGACGCCATGGTAGCTACATCCTTAATAGTTTCAGTATTAAAGTTATTATTTTTAACGTCTGCTATCGTTTATAATGAAGCTAGGTCTAATTTCAAAATGATCATTTAAAAAGTGTCCTTTGTAATACAATATCATCGCACACTAATTTGCATAAAGCCATGGTCTGTTCTGAATAAGTTGCATTGGACTTAGAAAAACCCCGCATTGCTCATTTCTGCACTAATCTCTCCTCAGTAAAATCCTTCTTTTACCTTTCTTATCTCCCTCCCACTGCGACTGTAGTTAGGCCGAAATTAGTTTAACATATATTTCACATATTAACTACCTAAATTGTAGATATCAATGTGAAAAAAACATTTTTTTTCTATTTCCGACAGTCCTTTAGGTATTTAATGCTTATGTGCATATGTTCTTATTTTATTCTGACAAATTTCCATTGTTATTTGTCGGTAACAAGGTTAGGAAAACGTCTCTTTTGAGTATTTTGAGACAAAAGAAACTCAAGAGGAAAGAAGGCTGAGTAACAGCATGACAAAGGTCTAACTTCCCCAAAGTTTTCTTTAGGGGTAGGGGGATAGGGGTGGCTTCTTACAATCCCATGCATAACCTCAGAGTTGTGCTCTTTAGCCTTTACATATCATCAAGGACAGCTAGTCACATGATATCCCACTTGAAAACTAAAAACCAGGTGTTCCACTTGAAACTCTAAACCTAAGGAGAAGATGTTCCATGCAATACAGAATGACACAAAATGAAAAAATACATAAGCCAAGTTTCCCAAAGTGGTCTTTTTATTTGAAATGTAATCTGATGGTGTCATAAATCCTTTTGTATTTCACAGCTTCAATTGGGAACTCTTTTGTAAAACAATAAAAGCTGTTGACAAAACATTAAAGAAAATGTCAATTATTCCATTAATCAAACAAAGAAAATCAGAAATACCAGCAACTGAGTGACATTATGAATTACATCAACAGTTAGAATTTGGCCCAAAATATAACATCACTTTAAATCAACTGTCATTCAAACGTTTATACATTAAGAAGACTCTCATTATCTTCAACTGACTGAAACGGTTTGACTCAGTCATGCAACACCCTTCCTTCTACCCATATCCCAACACCAAGACTCTTAAAGTCTGTCCAAATGTGTTTGTTGGTTCTGTCACTCAAGATAGTGAGAGTCGACCATGGTGACACGTGCTGTACTAAGTGTTGTTTAATAAGAGAATTGCAATAACATATACATGTACACTGTGTAAGAAACACAAAAAATATTGCAGGTGTGACCAGAATATGGAAGAAAATAAGAACATTATGACTGAAGTGGTCGCAAAACAGAAAATATCATCAAAACTTAACAAGTTGTAAGATGTCATGCTTCCTGTAGTGAGTGTCATGGCTCCCAAGCTGACATCATGTCAAATATCAAGCCAAGAATTGAAGAATAAAACATTGAGAAAAAAGTTTATCTCAAAGCATTACCTGAAAAGTGATGTTTTTAGAAGGAATAAAATATCAGTATTTTGAATACCAAACTGAAATCAGATGGAAAAATGTGACAATATCGACATTATGTAGGAGCACTTCCATGAACAATATAGACAAAAACATAACAGATATAATTTGTATAGTTCTGTGATGCTAATATAATAACCTGAATAGCTGCATCACTCCATGACATAAATATGAAACACAAATGTGAAGAAATAAATTAATAAAAATTATTTAATGCACAAGAAAGAAAATGAATAAATAGATCAATAAATATGAATCCAACAACAAAAACACTGGGCAACAGTTGTGATAACTACAGAAGTACAATATGCTACATGTGCATCCTCCTTTATCAGGACGTATAGACTCTCGGACAGGTGTACCTTATGCATCCCTGATACATAATCTCACTGGAACCTGTCCATTCACGTACATCGACATAAGAATATTCGTATCACATTTGCAACCACAGTAGGAAGAAAAGTGTTGCCTTACTTAATACTTCTTCATAAAATGAAAAAATCCATATCAGAAATTCATTGAAATGATTGGAGTTTAGACTAAGGATATGTTAATTATTGAAATACCAGAAAAAAGCATCCTGATTAAGCAGCATTTTCATCTTTAATATAGTGTGCACCTTAATTTTAGTTTTACAATAAGATCAGATCAATTGTATTTACTTTTCCAAAAAGAGGTGTTTTGAGATTACAAGCACAAAATAATGAAAACTGGTGTGCATCTGTATAAATTTTGATGTGTATTGAAAAACAGAAAAAAACCACTGATCTGGCCTAAAAATTCTGATTGAATAAAATTCTGAAATACTTTTTGGAAAAGGTTTGCCTTAAATTCATTGTTGATAAGTTTTTGCAGTTATCACAGAGGTATCATTTAGCCACTTAATTTCAATTTTCTATACTACCGGTATATACGTCTTCAGTTAGATTGGTACAAATGGCAGAAGACATTTTCAGTGGAATATACAGATTTGCACCTGATGTTGATCAATGATGATGTATCACAACTACTGTACTATGAGCAGGTGCTTTATAAGTGAGGACTCATAGCCCTAGTGGAAACCAAAGTCTGGAATGTGACAGAAACAGTGCAAGATTAACATTAACATTCTTGTCAGATTAGTAAGAAATAGTATTTGACAAAGCTGTGAAATATAGAGCACAGTGAAAACAAAACCATCATTACAAAGTATTAATAAATATTACACATTGCCTTTGTGCGAGAATTAGGATTATATAAACGATTTAACTGTTATATGGTAGGTTTGAACATCATAATCTCTCCCAATTTTTGAGCATGTTATTTCATGAAATGAATTCTGTGACAATAAACCATGAGTGAGAATGTGTGAATATGCTGTTAAATATCATGCTTAAAGGCAGTGCTTCATTTTCTTAACAATGAAAACAATATGTGTAGCTCCACGGTATGAGCAACATTATGCATATGGCTGTTTTCAATGAATACTTCTCATTTCCACCCCTTGGAACAATCAATAGGTGTAAAAATCTCTGCAGGCAAAAAATACATCACTTACTGTAACTATCTTAAGATATTTTGCAATTAATACCATACTGGTTTCAAAGGAAAAGAACCAAACATTTTATTTTATAGAAACTTGTGTTTGATGGCCCAAAACATCCAATAAAATTTCTTTATTTGGATCAGAACATTAGAATACTGTGCTATAACTAATATCCAAACTCTCATAGAATGTTCTATGATTTACCTATACTACGCAATCTGAAATACAGTAGAAAAAAAAGAAGAATTAAAAATCTTCAAAAAAGCCCATCATAATTTCTTAAATGGCACCCAATACATAGAAGAATGAAAGGCACTGGGGATGGACAGTTTGATGCAGAATCATTACGGTATCTCTGACAACATAGAACCATCATCATCATAATCTTACAGATATTTGTTTCAAAAACAATTTTCTTTTCCACATCTTGTAGTTCCAGTTCTTATCAATACAATTCTCGAATCTCCAAACTGTGATTCCTAAGTAAGAGTAAATGGGCACAAAATATCATCTTTTCTTCAAAAGCATTCCTGGGCTAAAGATTGAGCATTCAACATCAATGATATAATCTCTCCTAGCTAATTCCATTTGACTGAATTCTACAGCTGTACAGATATAATGTCAACATTCAAATTCAATTTGTAGAAATTTGAGGAAAAAATACCAAAAATATTATGAATAGTAATCACAGTGTATCACAAGGCAACAAGGCAGGGCCCAGTCTTCAGTAGCCAGAGTAATGTATATGCATGCACAATTTATCCTAAAAAAAAGAGGTGCATTTGCATCAGGGATGTAATATGTTAATCAAAAGCTTATAATTATGTGAATCCAAGTCCTCGTACACCATCCACAGACACAACTTTCTGTTTCCTGTATTGAATGACAATAGCCTTACAGTCAAAAGCCTTACTCATAGCCTTTCAGTCAACTCTGGAAGGTCTGTAGGCAGTGAATCTTCATGGTCCCGATCCTGTTAATGTGGAAAGGTTTACATGGAATCCCAAGCCCAAATAACTCGCAGATACCAATTTTGAATCCCATGTAAATGTTCCATGTTAAAAGTGCCTACAAAAACTGGTTCTAAATATCCCCTAGACTGACTGAGTGAGTTTGGTTTTACGCCGCTTTTAGCAATATTCCAGCAACATCACGGCGGGGGACACCAGAAATGGGCTTCACACATTGTACCCATGTGGGGATTCGAACCCGGGTCTTCGGCGTGACGAGCCAACGCTTTAACCACTAGACTACCCCACCGCCCCAAATATCCCCTAGAGTTAACTGTATGCTGAGTTCAGGTCGAAGGCAGTATGTACACATCACAACCGTGTCATGTTAGCTGATTTAATCTGGCTACTGAATCTGGACTCTGCAGTATGGAAAGAGTGAGGGTCTGATGTAATATGGCAGCATAGGCACATTGCAGGCTTAGGATATATTATGAAAAAACATGTAAACAACTGTTGTTAAATGGTAACAAAACAAACATACAAAAATATGAAAATTGGAAACTGGTACAATAAATACGAAGCGAATGTGGGCGAAGTAACCAATAACTTATATATATAACTTGAAAGTGACTTGAAAGGAATCACAATGTTTAAAATTCAAAATGGAACATAATATACACACTGAACAATAAGAATCTCAAACTATATACATTTAAATAAATAAATTATAAGTAACCCAACAAAAACCCTAAAAGAGTCCCAAAACGGAATGTCCTCTCACCAAATTCTGACTTAGAATAACACAACAACTGCCACTACTGGGCAATGTCAAACATTCAGGAAAACCATGCATACCAGACTTTTACAATGCAAAAGTCAGTCCATAAGAAAATAAGGCACCTTGTTAGAGGAGTATCTCCTGCAATTCAAGTACAATCTGTACAAAATTTCTGAATTCAAAATGTCCCTTGCAATACTCCATCTGTTGGCTAGATCCTCCTTCAGTGGTTCTGTACATATTGCATGTAACATGGCCCCTTCTGAAGGAGTCGCCAAACAGAATCATGGATTCTCACAGAACATTCAAGGCTGTTATCGTGAACATAATTTTTCAAAACAATGTAGGAAAATATTATCAGTAAAAATGGTAATAATTCTTCAGAAATGTTTTCAAATATCTAAACATTTTATGTGTTTAAATACCACCTAATATCTTGTCAGTACAGTTTGAAAATCTAAAACCTAATATTTCCACCGCTTTCTACTTGTAATGTATTCCAAACATGTAATGTATTCTAATATGGCAAACAAGAAGTAGTATGTTAAATAACTGCCTTCCAAAACACTTGTCCTAGTTACAGCACTAAAATCATTTTGCAGAAAAAGACTACTGAAATATTAATTGGGTCTTGAGATGAACTGAATTGAAAAATAATTTCAGCTTTTGAGTGCAATATTCATAAATTGGAAACCGAAATAAATAATAACTACAGAATATGAACATCTTTATACTGTCCATATCACCACGAGATGCAGGGTTTGTGATTAATGCTTCAGATTATCATGCAGAACAGCTGGGAATGAGGAAATACAGGTGAATATGTGAGGTGTGGTGAATTAAGATGAGTCTTGAATGACGGTGATGTTCTGTTATTGTGAGGTGCCAGGGCTGGCAGCAATGACTTATACCAAGATGAAGAAAATGATTGTACTGTACATGGCACACACTCTCACACTCAATCATCCATAGTCTCTCCCAGGAAGATTTACATCCTCAGCATCAGTGATTGGGGATCATACCAGCACGGGCTAGGCCACCAATGAGGGCACCATTTACACACAAGGCATCATACTACAGCCAGCTTGGGTTACAGTGGAAGTTTAATGGATCTGTACATGGGCATAAGCACCACAGATACCCTTGGTGGATTGTACCAGTATTTCTGGTCACAATGGAAGTTTTGGGCAACCATACAGGCTTCACCACTACAGATACCTCTGGTGGATTATACCAGCATGTTCTTGGCTACAATGGAAACTCACTTTAAAATCCATGCACCTTGGTATTATTATCCAGTCCTGTTTGCACACAAGAACTTAGCAGTACACAAATCATATTTAAAACCAGTATCATATAAAGCCTATATTTAACATATGTTATATTTGGGATTACACTTTCTTAGTAACTTTCTCTGTTTCCTTTGACCACTTTCTAAAATGGCATTGTGTATTTCAAAGCCTATATTTTATGTAACTGGGGATCATTTAGTGACATAATTTTTGGGATTACACTTTCTTAGTAACTTTCTATGTTATCTTTGACCACTGTCTAGAATGGCATTGTGTATTTCAAAGCCTATATTTTATGTAACTGGGGATCATTTAGTGACATAATTTTTAAATTTTATCCACAGTCTGACAAACTGTTGTATACTCAGGTTGAATTGTTAGCTACAAACTGATGACAACAGTTTTCAATCATACCTGAAATCAGCCATCGTTATAACGGGTTATGATACTGGCCGAATTGACAATATGTTTACTGATAAGGGAAAAATCTACTTCTCCAATACCAACCTTAGCTTGTGTTACTGATTAGGATACACTGGGGATAGTGATGACAGGTGGGTAGTGTTCCACAATCAACTAACATCATCACCCTGTACCACAAAGCTTGGATTATAGGAATACTATTTACATACAATTTCAAAGATGATTGTCATGAATTAATCTTATCAATAAATTATTCATTGTAAAACCATTAATATTCACATTTATTTATATTCATATTTAGTGGTATTCACAATTTGTAGGAATATTTTCATAAAAAACAGATCCTTGGTAACATTGGTACCAAGCTGACAATACTTAGTTACAGGACGTTGCTTTTCCAAATGCATCAAAAGCTTAAATTCTACACAATACTGACAAGGTCTGTAGTTCTGGACTGTAGTCATGACAAGGATAAGGAAAATAATATGCTTATGAAATATGATGGTCTTGATGGGGATGAGAAATGTCTGTACACAGTAGGCTCAGTGAACTATTTGTTGAATATCCTGATGGGTGATAACTGATTATGGGGAGGAGGTGCATGAACTTCACAGTACTGAACATGGGGCTTGATCTGGTATGCCTGGGACAGACATGGGGATCATTCAGTCTTTCAAACTTGTCTCACTGAGACTTGAATTACCGTTTTCAAACTCATGGAACCCAGTATCATTACTGAAATGCCCATCGACGGACTGGGCAAAGTGGAGTTTCATATGCTTATTGAGCTCATATTTTCGCACAAATTCTTTCCCACAAAGGGTGCACGTGTGAGGCTTGGCACCTGAATGGATGCTCTGAATGTGTCGCTTGACGTGATCGCTACGACTGAAGTGCTTGCCACAAATGTTACACACGTGGGGCTTAGCACCTGTGTGTATCTGCATGTGTCGTTTAAGATGGATATTTTTGGCAAAGGATACCCCACAGGTTGGGCAAGGGTATGGCTTCTCCCCAGTATGAGTGTGAAGATGGACTCTCAAGACACAGTAAGTGCTGAAATGTTTGCTGCAGAATTCACATGAAAATGGCCGATCTCCTGAATGAACTCTCATGTGACCCTGCAGATTTGATTTAGTGCTGTATTTCTTAAGACAAAACTCACAAGAAAACCCACTCTGGGAGTGTATTTTGATGTGCTTGCTAAGGTTCTTCTTGTCTGAGAAAGACTTGTTACATATGGGACAAGTATGCCCATTAATCAGGGAGCTAAAGTGACTGCTGGAGAAACCATTGTCGCCTTTGGGAGATCCAGTCGAAATGGTAATAGTGTTGTCGTTGACATGTAGAAACTCTGGCTTGATTGACATTTCTTCACAGTCTCGCTTATGTTGATCCAGCATTTTCTGGTTGTCGAAGATCTCACCACAGATGGTGCAGATGATGACCATGCTGCTGCTGTTGTTGTTGTTGAGTCCTCCATTGGACATGGAGAAGCTGTCTTCCGAGGTGGATGTTTCATCCGGACGAGAGACGGGACTGGATGTGTCCATGTCTAAAGCAAGGCACAACATTACTGATGAGAAATAAAGGTACATGTGGCATACAAGTCTATTTCCTAGACGTAGGATCCCTCTCCGGACGTACTATATGGACATTTTGCTGCATACAGACTCATTGTTTGTTCTTCAAAAAACGGGGGCGGTGGGGTAGCCTAGTGGTTAAAGCGTTGGCTCGTCACGCCGAAGACCCGGGTTCGATTCCCCACATGGGCACAATGTGTGAAGCCCATTTCTGGTGTCTCCCGCTGTGATGTTGCTGGAATACTGCTAAAAGCGGCGTAAAACTAAACTCAGTCAGTCAGTCTTCAAAAAAACCTTTCTGTTGTTTTAAATACAGACTATTCTAGTGTTTACATCACTACTTTTATGGATAACAACTTCTTTTTTATTCTTTACACGACGTTTCAGAGCTAATTCTTGCTCCTTCATCAGGTGAATGAAAGCCTTTCAAAAACTTTAGTGCTTTACATATGAATTGTACTGATGTTCTGTAAACAGGCTTTCCAGTGTTCTACAAACACACTGTTCTCCTTACACACTAGTCTATTCTATAGACTTTTAAAGAGCTAACAGATGCAGCCTGTTTTCCACATACAGAGTTCAGCACACACACACCACACTATGTTAGTGTTCTGTATACAAACCATCAAGTGTGAGGGGAAGCTGCAGCAACTCCTCTGGCAGGAACTCCTTCAGTTTTTCAAACAGGTCAGGGAAGAAGTGCGCCACCTGCAAGCAATACACATGCCATCAAGTACACAACGCTAATGGACCAACACATCAATACACGTGCCCTCAAGTACACAACGCTGATGTACTACCCACAGACCAATACGTCAACGAAACTGTCATCGAGTACACAATGCTGATGGACTGCCCACAGACCAACACACCAATACATGTGCCATCAAGTACACAATAATACCACCCACCCATCAGACCCCTTCTACCACATGTCATTGGTTCCGAATTGCGCAGATCAATGCTCATGCTGTTGATTACTGGATTGTCTGGTCCAGACTTGATTATTTGAACTGACTGCTAACCCCATTCAAGGACGTACCAGTGGTGCAGACTGTTGCCTGTCCTCCCCACAATGGTCCACCCATGTCTGTATGGCGTCAAGCACCTGCTTGTCAGACAGCACCTCCCCCTGGAGAGACTTCAGAGTCTGTAATAGACTGTACACTGCCAGGTCCAGGAATGTCTCCTCTGCCAAAATCTGTAACAATAACCTCAGATGAATAGAGAGGAGCAATAATACCACTAAATCCAAAAAATATCCCAAATTCAAGAATTCATATGATGCTCAACTGATTAAAGTACCAGTATTTGCCCAAGAAGGGTTGTCCGTCCTTTTTTAAAGACTAATTCCCAGATTGTACAAGTGTTTAATAACTGTGGCATGAAAAAACTGATGAAAACAGCCAAACTATCAAGAAATATGTCACTAACAGTGTCTCATTAGTTTTGGTAAAATTTCTTTACAATTCTCAGAGTCCCGGATTTGGAAGTCCCAGAATTAAATCAACTGTTCTTGAACGTTACCTGTTGAAAGTTTTCCTTAATGAAGGCTACACTATCCTCTTGTAGGGTCTTACAGTCGCACTGAGTGGCCACCTGATATGTCACAAGGCATGTGTCGGGACGGAGCTGAGACAACAGAAAGTCGCAGCACAAGTTACTAATCTCATCCAGTTGAAACATGAAGGCTGTTGGCAGCAATGTCAACACATTCTCCTCCGTCACGGATATAGCCGACGTGTAACAGAATTCAATAATACTTTGAGCGGCATCTGGGTCTACATCAGTCAAGTGGTATTCGGCTGGCGTTTCCCGTGGGTTGTGTTCCAGGAGGTTGTGAAAATAAGGCATGCACGCCGATAGAATCAGTCGATGAGCATGGATGCGGCGACTGCCGACGTTGAGAAGGACGTCACATAGTTCTGTTTTCCTCCGGAGCTGGTTGATGGATCCTATTAGACAGTCGGCATGGTTGACAGAGGTATAGTGTAGTGAGCTCTCCATTCTGGCAGGGGGAGGTAAGTCTGTCTGTAGGTAGGGCAGGAAACCATGGAGTCCTGCAAACATACACCAGCGTGAATGATGGTCTACAAAGTTTCTTTGTTCCACACTCAATAATATTCCAGTAATACAATGGCCAAACAATCCAGTGATCATATTATGATTAAAGATTCATACCACCATACAAAGTTTGGGAGACTGACCAGAACAATATACCTGCTCTGCGAACAGCATGGGATGCTTGGTACAGTTTCTAGGCCGGGATCACATGAACTGAATGATATAATGAACTGTTTCTTTGGTCCTTGACACTTGCTGTATATTTAAGTCAAATTGCATATATATTATCTAAATGAACTACGATTATAACTGAAATTACAGGTCCTCATTCTCTTCCAACAGACGTTACTTGTCGAACCTCTGTTCTAATACGGTCATATTTCCCGGTTCTCATAAAATCCCCAAGCAGCAAAAAATCGTAACACGAATTATCTCCTTTCTTTTTATCCAATCAGAACACGTGTTACATCGGCTTAGATCCAACTTGTATAATACAAGCAAATGTGGGGCCACAAATATCCCTCCTCTGCCGGGGGACTTGTGTTGATGTGACACACAAGGCATTTAATGGCTAGCTTGTCCGTTGTCAACGAGGGAGATGGAGACGCCATTGATCTGCCATTACATGACTGAGATCTGTCTAGAAGAAACGTTTGCGCATCGCGCAGGGGAAGAGATTCTAGTTTCCCTGAAGTATATGGAAATTACCAAGACCTTGCGAATGATCACTTTTGAAACAACGTCGCTGATTGCACAACTAAATCTAAATGCAACCAATCACGAATCCTGAACACTCGCACCATGAAAGGGTCGTATTAGAAGAGGTTCGTAGGAAGATATGACAAGTAACCTCTGTGGGAAGAGAATACAGGTCCCTTGTAAGTACAGGTCGTTGTAAGTGTAGTTGTCTGTATTTCAGTTCTGACAGCTTGCGTGAGTACAAAGTGACGTAGTTTGAATATGATCATCACAGGAGCATCCCCTGAGGAAGCACAGCATGTCTATTTAACACCCAGCATCCTGGACATGTACGTGTGAATGTATGTTTGATATATATATATACTAGTATCGTGTAGAGCCTCAGGAGCCAGACACGATCAAGTTATCACACAACTGTCTTATCATGACATACCTGGAGGTGTAAATACAATGAGTATGTTCCTTAGCAACAGGGCTAGAGCACTTGATATATTGTACTGTGAAAAACTGACATAGACGACTTCCAAGGTGAGGTGAGGTGAAATTTTGTTAACGTCGTGCTTGAGAATATTTCGGCTCATATGACGATGTGCATGCGTGTGTATGTATGTATGTGCGCTGCTTGTACTAGCCCAGACTTAAGCTGGTTTTATAGTGCTAGCCCACTGAGATACCATGCTGCAGTTAAGCATGAATATCCCACTCAGATACATTATACTGACTCCGAGCCGACCAGTCCTTGTTGTACCCATTAATGCCGAGCGCCAGGCAGGGACCAACAAGTACCATATTTTAACGCTCTTTTGGTATGATGCGGTCGGGGATCCAACCTGCGACCTTCCGTTCTCCGGGCGGACGCTCTAACCACTACACCACGGAGGCGGTCAAGACTTCCAAGGACTGCATTGATGCTGTCATAGGCTGTTAACAACAGTCTGCAGGCCATCGCTTATTGCTCAATCTTCCAGAACCAAAACTCGAGATTATGTACAAGATTCACCTTTCAGAACCATCTTTGACATATGGAAGGATACAAGACCGTTCAAAATGTTCGCAGCTAGTTACAATCTACTCTCCTGCGGTGAAACATATGAACTCAATGATCTGAATGAATAAGGGAAATAAAAGAAGATAGTTTCTCCAACATAAGATGGACATGTAACATCCCTTATAAACCTACTAACCCATGTGCTAAGCTAAGGTTGTTTTAATGGCTAGACATGATAAAGGGAGATAATAACAGAAGTTAATCCAGCCACTAAGTTGAAAATCCACGTCAGGATCTCAAAATAACTGTTCTTAAGAAAAAAATATAAAAATAATAAAAATTAACACAATATTCAGTGATAATTTGTAGTATGGCTGCATACAAAGAGCTGTTAGACTTCCTCATTCGGAAGTATGACATGATTTAAATAAACATAAATATAACAATTTGTTAAGTGTTGGGTACACATAAGCCTTTTCAAGCCCCAGGTTGCCGTAAAACCTTACCTTAATTACCTACCTACCCACCCACAACTTGGTATTAAACTCATAGGACTGACTGACTGAGTTTGGTTTTACACCGCTTTTAGCAATATTCCAGCAACATCACGGCGGGGGACACCAGAAATGGGCTTCACACATTGTACCCATGTGGGGATTCGAACCCGGGTCTTCGGCGTGACGAGCCAACGCTTTAACCATTAGGCTACCCCACCGCCCCAAACTCATAGGAGGTGACAAGGACAGTTAACTTGGGTTGGATTGCTCAAGAGTAGCACTTGTGTACTCACAGGACCACCCAATGTTAGGCATCTGATATACTGTTAAATGAAAAAATAACAATAAAAAAACAACTCCATGGTTACACTACAAGTCACTATTGTTCGCTATTCTTCCTGACTATGTTTACATTCCTTCTGTTCAGTAAAGATAAAGCTTCAGTCATATTCCGTGCATGCATTATCAGATCGGCTCATGTGTGTATCAAAATAGTTTTTGCCAGTCCAATGTCAAATTGGACATTTTGTACAAATGTGAGTAAACGTCGCACACATACCATTTTCAAAGTCAAGAAGAGGGTTGAAAACGGTTTTATGATCAGAACAAAACCATCACCAGGTCTAGATCAAGGTTTGCATCGGCAATCAAATATTTATCTTCACCTGACCTCAGGCTATTATTCCCTAGCAACAACTGGAAGTAAATATTCCTAAATTGGAATGAAATATTTCCAGACTGTTTTGTGGCTCTTTTGGCTCTTTTTTAGGGATGACATGTTTTTTCACAATCACCAAGACCTATAAAGAAGTAGAGACATTAATGTTTAGTTTTAAATTTCTGCACAGAATATCGTGTCAATGTTTGAAATTCCTAATTTTGAACAGAACAAACACTTTTTTACAATTTGCCACTAGACAAGGGCACTTAGTTGAATCCTAGGTTAATTCCTGCTATGAATTCCGCACAAAATTTCCACAACAAGGCATTACGGACACCGGTGTTGTACCATCACGCTCGGTCCCCGTCACTGCAGAGATGTATACATAACACAGCACACATACTAAACCACAACAACCTAAATCTGAGACTATTACAACAGACCCAGTTAATTGTGGTCGACACAGTATGTATTAACAATGATTAATGTATTACGCTGAAGTGGTTATGTTACATCATGAGTGGCTACAAGGGGGGGAGACCTAACACCAGGATGGGGACTAGCCTACAGCAGTGTGTGTACTGTAATGATGGAACCACCTCGGGGGAAACCCATAGATCTCAGCCCTGGGCTGTGTTTCACCTGCTACATCATACTGTAGGCTTTGAAGTTTCACCCCCTACCTGCTCCACCCTTGCACTTGGTTTAACACTGGTGGGATAAACTGCTGTAGCTAATAAAAACCTAACTGTATCAGTGGTTTGTGTTTGAGTGTGTTTACAACTCCAGTTGGTATTGGTAAATACGCATGGCACCATTCCTCATGCTTCCAGTGAATGTGCTAGAGACAACGCATTAGGATATTTTAGAACATTTACATGACTTTATTCACTTGTGAATGGACTTTCGTCTTTAAATTCATCTTAAAATATTGAAACATATCATCAAATATATTATCAACAAACTGGTAAATGGCCTAATTTGTATCCCTCTGAAAGCTGAACCAATACGTCTCACATCACACACCATGACTGGGCAATGGCTTTAAATCAGGATGTAACGAGAATGAGTCACATTAACATCTATCCAAGCCTAGAACAGATCTTCTACTTTCTAGGATCTTCTTGTGTCCTCCATACTCCATGCATGCATCTCCAAGGTTACTACGTAACCACTTGGTGACATGGGGTATAACGCTGTGCTCACGATTACATCGCTTACTAAAGTGCATGAAAGTGTCTGTACGTGTATGTATGTGTATTAGGACCATCTTTAAACATGGCCAGGTGAGGAGAAATGGGGATTAACGTCAAATAATGTGTACATGTGGGTTTGCTGTACTAGTCTGAATCCATGCTGGCTTCATTATACTGAGTGTCAGGGTGGGTAACAAGTACAAGTACATCTATTAGTATGAGCAAATTGAGATCAGAGCAGAGACCATAGAGTCTCAATGCACTTGATAAACGCCGGCCACTGTGCTGGCTGGGTAACAACATGTACATCTATTGGTAAGAGCTGACTGGGATTTGATCATCAACCATACAGTCTCCAAGCACTTGATCAAAGCCGGCCATTATGCTCAGCGTGGGTAACAACATGTAGATCTATTGGTAAGAGCAGACTTGGATCTGATCATAGACCCTTCAGTCTCCAAGCACCTGCTCCATCCACAGATACAGAGACAGTCTAGTCAGGATGAACATCACTCAGATGTAACCTGGCAACCACTGTACCACTTGTTCTGCACAGAGCTTAGCAGGTCATTAGGAACAGACATCCCAGGGAATTCTGGGTATGAACAGATCCACAGTGACCTACATTAAAAGACGACTTAATGGATTGGGTGGCTAGGCTTGGTCACAAGGTAGATTGCTTGTCATTATATCCTGAGAAGTAGGTTGTTCCTCAATGAAAAAACAATGTACTTTCCTACTTTTAGTCATAAAATTCGTTTTTTCAGCTCTCAAACAAACAAGAGCCATCCTTTCTCCAAGGCATATCATTTAGCATGTTTAATTAGTGCCTGCAAGGGCCAAGCTGGAGGAGGGGAGGAGTGCAATATACCAGGTCAGCCAGTATCTCATCCTCATATTCATAACATATAGCAGGTTAACAATATACTGCAGGTACATTTATATGATAATATCC